CAGGAATGGGGAATGTGAGCTACTGTCAGTTCATAACACTTTGGCTTTGCTGCTCCTTCCTCCTCACACTGTTCCCCTGCTCCAGCATGGGGTACCCACACAGGGTACAGTCGTTCCTGAACTGCTCCAGCCTGGGTCCTCTCCATGCAGTCCTTCAGAAACAGACTGCTCCAGTCTGGGTCCTTCATGGGCCACAGCTCCTGCCAGAAAACCTGCTTCTGCGTGGGCTCCTCTCCAGGAGCTGCAGTTCCTGCCAGGAGCCTGCTCCAGTGTGGACTCTCCACGGGCTCCAGCTTGCTTTGGGGCATATCCACTTGCTCCAGCATGCTATCCTCCGTGGGCTGCAGCGTGGGCACCTGCTCAGACACGGTGCCCTCCATGGGCTGCAGAGACAACCTGCTCAGACGCGGTCCCCTCCGCGGGCTGCACAGACAACCTGCATGACCACGGTCTTCTTCATGATCTGAAGGAGAATATCTGCTCCAGCGCCTGAGGGACCTCCTCCCCATCCTTCACCGACCTTGGTGTCTGCAGTGTTGTTCTCTCATATTTTTCTCACTCCTCCCTCTCCCTGCTGCTGCACCACGTTGTTTTTCACCCTTTCTTAAATACATTTTCCAGGGGGAGCCCCCAGCTTGGCTGACGGGCTCAGCTGTGACCCATGGTGGGTTCTGAAGCCAGGTGAACTGGCCATGTTCAGCACAGGGTAGCCGCTGGTCTCCTCTCAGAGAGGCCACCACTGCAGTTCTCCTGCTCCCAACACCTTACCATGTAAACCCTCTAGAGATATATTCTAAATAAGAAAAAAGAATTGATTTGAACCTTTCATAAAGCCAAAAATAGTATTAGAAAATCAACAATATTTTAGTCTTTTAAAATAAATATAAAAGATCAGTTTACTCCTATGCAAAACATTACACTTAGCTTTTTTCTAGAATACCCCATCTAAAATTAGGTATAACAGTAAAACCAGTATAGAAATCTTAAGAGAAATCCTTTAAGTAAATAAGCAGCTTATTAAATATCCATTCCAACTGTCACAGGCAGCACTGTCAATCACTAAGAAAAATCCTATTTAAGAATTATAGTGCTTTTAAAACATCATGAAACACCAATATGAGGCAAATTTGACAGGCAGGAGGAAGGTGGGGGTTGGAAATCCACTGCAGATATCTAACGCCTATACTTCAAAATAGAAAAGTTCTTTAGATTACCGGTTATCAGCCACCTGAAGGAGGTCTGCGATATACGGGTCCTCTGGCTGAGGAACTGGATAGGCACTAACACCTGACGGAGGGACAGGCTGGTCGATCTGCATGCGCTGACGCCTGAAGGGAATGCTTCTTTTTTTGCCACCTAAAAAATCCCAAACCCAAAGGCCTATTACTTGGAGTCAAAGCAAGGGAGTAATAATTTTTAATACAAACTGAGAATTCCTATTTATTCTGCTGCTTCTGAACTAGCGCATTTCACCCTTATAATCTTACTGTAATAGGTTGATAAAATTCGTACATTTTAGACAACATCACTCTTGGGGGTTAGTATCAGCTTTGTCAAAGTTCAGTGTTATAATAAGAAAACATGCAGAGCTCAGTGTAAGTAATTTTCTCTAGTGTTTAAGACCCTAAATATTCTACAGTTCAAACTTGTTGAATCTGTTAGTGATTTACCTTACTAGACTAAATTACAACATCGCAAAAGTTGTTGTTTTCACTATTAAGAACTATTTCATGACTGAACCAACCTCTGCATTGTTTAGTAACATTGTTTTCCATCTATCCTATTGTAATTTCAGTGAATTAACATCATAAGCATATCAAGCAGAGTAGGTTGTTTCTTTACATGGTAACATTCTATTAAAACCAAAGCAAAACACAGTATTACTTCCAGAAGGAGCAATTACTCTTCATCACACAATTAAATAAGAACATACAATATTTGATGATGTAGTACAGAAAAATCCCAGAAGACTGGTGACCAAGGGGCAAGTTTGCAGGAAGACAGACAAGTGTAACACGGAGTCTTTGAAGCAAAAGACATGAAATGCAGAAAGGTGTAGAAAAACAGAAAAGAATTTTAACTTCACTTAGGTACCCATTAATTTCCCTCAGATAGGCAATTCAATGGCTTAGAAAGAAGAGACAATTTCAGAATTTCAAAAAATACTTCTCACTATATCCCTTAGCTTGAAAAAAGGAAAAAAAAAAGAAAGAGAAAAGCCTTGGAGAACTAAATTAACCTGAAAGCTTTCAGAGGGTTGGAATATTTATAGACACATTTTCATAGAACCATAGAATGGTTTGGGTTGGAACGGACCTTGAAGACCATCCAGTTCCAACCCCCCTGCCATGGGCAGGGACACCTTCCACTAGACCAGGTTGCTCAAAGCCTCATCCAGCCTGGCCTTGAAGCCAGGGATGGGGCATCCACATCTTGCTACCTTTAGATGTTGGTTAGAAAAGCCTGAATTTTGTCACATATCATCAACTGTCAAAAAGATTCAAGAATCAAACAACTTTCCTTGACTAAATTAGGTGCAGCATTAAAGAAATAAAAATAGCTGTTGACTAACAGTGCTTTCTGATTTTAAAATTAACATTAAATTAACTTAGTCTTCTACAGAATTTCGTTTTGTATTCAAATCTGTCCCTAACACAACTGATGTGCTAATGAAATTTTTTTCATACAAAGACTAAATTCAGAACCAAAATGTGAAAAAGGTAATGTTATTCTATTGGATAGTTATTTTACTGTAGTAATTTTTCTTCTTAAAGGATTAAAAAAAAATTATGTTCTGAAGAACCGAAAGCCCAGCGAAAAGTTAAAATATCTGTGATTATTTATACTCACCAGGTGTTTGCACCACTGCTTGCAGATTCTTCTCCTGAAGCTGCTGAATTTTTTCAGTCTTGGCTTTGTTCTCTTTTTCCAGCATTTTAATTTTATGTACATATTGGTTATTCAGAAATTTCAAGTCAGATGTTTCATGTTCAACCCTCCTTAAGGAGGCTTTCAAATCTTCAAGGGAGAGAAAAAGCAATGGTATCTTTGTAATTCATTCTTATTTTTCCTAATAGCACCAAAATAGACATGAAGACACTATATTCGTTTTCCATAACATAAAAGTTTCAAATAACCATACGCATGTATGTACACATACACACACACACATATATTTATTTATACATTATACAAATAATACACCTTTGTAGAATAAAGGGACATTTAACAGCAGTATTTGTCCTTTTTAAATTACCAAGTAGCATTTCAAGATGTGAGCATATATGCTAAAAAAGTTCTAAGTTTCATGTTTGATTAACACAATGATTTGCAGGAAGCTTTTAACTACAGAAGAAATTTCTGCATGAGTCTTAATTCGTTAAAGGCACTAAAGTCAATGACCACTCACGCTCATATCTGTACACAAAAGTACAGATAAATGAATCTGCAGATAAATGATTTGACCCCAGTTTTATTTTGGCAGAAAAGGATTTAAAAAGTACCCTAATTTTTATATTACCTTTAACATGACGATCAGATTGCTCTTTCAGTTTTAATATTTGTAAATGTAGTTCATTATTTTCCCTCGTGAGTTTAGCATTCTCTGTTTTATAAGGTTCCAGAACAGCATCGTAATTGCTACATTCTTTTTCAGTTTTTCCAGCAGATAACTTTGCACTGCGTAAGCTCTCGGTTGTATGAACAAGGTCACTAAAATAAAGGAGCATCAGATGTGTCAGAAATGATACCAGCCTTTACAGTGCAGATACAAATACTTATTATGACCTGAGAAACAAAACCCTTTCCCTGAAACCATGTTAACTGAGAGCAAATGGGTTCAAAGACAGGCCAAGAGAACATTCCCATAAGAAAAACTGAAAGACAGGAATCGTTCGCTTAAAAAAATTAAATTGAAAAGGACAGGACAAATACAAAAATTAAAGATATAGCACACCAGGAGTTTAAAACTGATAATTCAGTAAAAACTCTCCTTTCTACATAAAGCAAGAAGTCCAAAATTGGCAAGATGATTTTTTGATTCCAAGCATTACCTAAGTTGTAGCACTATTTCCCACCGAAGAAAACTGAAGAAAAAAATTAGAAAGGCCAGGACGCTGCTAGTATCATAGAATCACAGAATGGTTTGGGGTGGAAGGGACCTCAAAGCTCATCTAGTTCCAACCCCCCTGCCATGGGCAGGGACACCTTCCACTAGACCAGGGTGCTCCAAGCCTCATCCAGCCTGGCCTTGAGCACTCCCAGGGATGGGGCATCCACAGCTTCTCTGGGCAACCTGTCCCAGTGCCTCCCCACCCTCCCCGGGAAGAACTTCTTCCTGATATCCAATCTAAACCTCCCCACTTTCAATTTAAACCCGTTCCCCCTTGTCCTGTCACTACAGGCCCTTGTAAAAAGTCCCCCCCAGCTTCCTTGTAGCCCCTTCAGGTACTGGAAGGGGCAATAAGGTCTCCCCGGAGCCCTCTCTTCTCCAGGCTGAACAAGCCCACCTCTCTCAGCCTGGCCCCATAGCAGAGGTGCTCCGGCCCTCTGAGCATCTCCGTGGCCTCCTCTGGACTCGCTCCAACCGGTCTATATCCTTCTGATATTGAGGGCTCCACAGCTGGACGCAGCACTCCAGGTGGGGTCTCACCAGAGCAGAGTACAGGGGCAGAATCCCCCTCCCTCGACCTGCTGGCCACACTTCTCCTGATACAGCCCAGGATCCGGTTGGCTTTCTGGGCTGTCTATAGTATTTATATGGATATCAGAAGCTCCAGAAGAGAGATTATTGGTAAGTAGCTATAAACCTTTTTGTGAAAACAATATCAAAGCCAGCAACTGAGAGATCAAACCTATCTGTTAGACACCAGAACAAGACTGAACGCTGGGGGCAGACTACTCCACATCTGCCCACCTGTGGTTCTTCCATCTGCAGTAGATGCTAGACAGCAACAGAACCAAAATACCTACATTTCATGTTTAACCAAATATAACAGTATTATTATGGAAATGACTCAGTTCATAATCACATCAAAGACATGAAATGTCAGGTTATATTAAGGTCACCTGAAAATTTGTTGTCTTCTGTTACCTGTCCTGTAAAAACTGCACAGATCGCAAATTTAAACTTCTCCAAATGCAATCATAAAAAACGGAGCTCTGAATGTGTTATTTTAAGTCACAGTACAGACAAGAGGGATTATGTTTTACACAACCAATTATAAGAGCGTGTCCTTTAAGCATATATCAGTAGTGATTATTCTAGGCTCTGTTATGAGGTTAGAATTTTCGTAGACCACAGATCCTTAGAAAGTCTCTAGGCTCTGTTATGAGGTTAGAAATGTTGATTTTTCGTAGACCACAGATCCTTAGAAACAATTCTACTGAATTAAATGAAATCTTAAGGTGTTCTCATCACTTAAGCAAACCCATTGTACTTCATCATACACAGGAACGGAATGTTAGCTCTGAAGTAACACTGCTAGAAAATAATCTTCAGACTGAGCATTCTCCCCTCTAGGCTCTGTTATGAGGTTAGAAATGTTGATTTTTCGTAGACCACAGATCCTTAGAAACAATTCTACTGAATTAAATGAAATCTTAAGGTGTTCTCATCACTTAAGCAAACCCATTGTACTTCATCATACACAGGAACGGAATGTTAGCTCTGAAGTAACACTGCTAGAAAATAATCTTCAGACTGAGCATTCTCCCTTATATGTCAGAAATCAAATAATATCTACTGTATGATTACTATGGTTTTTTTAATGAGTTTCCTTTTGAATCTACTGTATGATTACTATGTTTTTTTAATGAGTTTCCTTTTGAATACCTAAAAAGCTTTTCCACCAAAGGGAAACTCTCCACTCCCAATGGTTGTTGATAGCCCAGTTGATCTAGACGTTTCCTGAGATGAATGAACCTTCGCTCTGCAGTTGTAGTCATTGTAAACACACCTCCAAAGCAGCTTCTGTCACTCCAGGAAAACAGGCCACCTGCAAAAGATTGTCTGTTACAGCATTTGTCCTTTAAAGAAGGAATTATACAGAAAAAAACTAACAGAAAAAAAAACATTTTTTGTGCAGGAAATGCAGTGCATAAGCATGTCCTTAAAATATAAGTAAACCAAAAGAGAATCATGCAGCAACTAAAAGTGTTTTTAACATATTTTCATGTTTCTTTAAAAATAACTATTTGTCTTGGCAATTACTTTTCTCTCTCCTAACATCTTACAGTACAAACAGAATTTTTTCTTTTCAGTATGTAAGAACTGAACTCTGAAAAGATCTTTCTGTGGGAAGACTAAGAAGTAGATTCTGATTGTTTTTTAACCATTCTCATCATAGTATCTTCCACAATGCAAACTGACAGGTTATTCTCCAAAAAAACCCCATATACTTTTCTCCTTTGGTCATGGTTTAACCCCAGCTGACAACTGAGCACCACACAGCCACTTGCTTGCTCAGTCTTGCCCCCACATCCATATGGTATGGAATATCCCTTTGGCCAGTTTGGGTCAGCTGTCCTGGCCATGCTCCCCCACCCCCAGCTTCTCGTGCATCTCCAGCCTTCTCAGTTGTTAGAGCAGGAGAAGATGAGGAGGGCTTGACTAGTGTAAGCACTACTTAGCAACAACTAAAACATCAGCACGGGAATAATGTTGACAACACACTAAAGCCAAAACACAGCACCATAGCAGCTACCAGGAAGAACATTAACTCTATCCCAGCCAAAACCAGGATGCTTTCATATATAAATCCTACTTTTACAGTTTACAAGGCAGTACTTAACAACCTTTTTTAAAAATGCATAAAATGTGTAAGATTTTAAAGACGCATCTTGGAATTCTAGTAGCTTGTAGAGCTTGTCCCTTTTGTGTGCTTTTTTCTGAGACTTCGATCACTCTGAACAGTCACAAAGATTCACTGCTGTAGCCTTCACTATTCCTAAAGATTCCCAACTTACCTGCCTTCCTGATTGCTCTAAAGCATCCATGAAGATGCATTCACAGTGACACCAAGATCCCTTTTTCTGAGCAGTAACTGCCACTTCAGAGCCCATGACATGTACTACTTTGCCTTTATTTACACTGTTCCTTAACTCCCACTTTATTGCTCCATCCAGTGATGCTCTTCCGCAACCCTTGGACTGCTCCTAAAAGTCTTCGGTAAAGAATCTTCTCAAAAGCTCTTTGGTTTTCTACATCCTCCTTACCCAGCCAATTCAGAATATTCTTGTCTTTAAAGAAACTTCATAGCCTTGTGAATCACCACTGAGTCATGATGGTACATTGAAATTACTAGATAGGTCTGGAAATTTGCAAAGTACTGGTAAGCACAACGCTATTTCCCTGGAGATAGGCTATGTTAGCTGCATAAATGGTTCACATCATTCGTTACTTAAATCTTTTATGTAATTTAGTGCTGCTTGGAAGAAAACAGAATTTCCACTGTAGATTAAAACCAGAAAATCAGGATAATTAAATGGTACTTTAAATCGGGTATTTCCAGACAAGGATTTATCAAGATGTCTAAACGAGTGCATCTCTCAGTTATTCACAGATAAGATATTCAGAGCCAATAGCCTCAGGTTTTGTTCCTCCTTAGTTCACAGAGTCCCCTAAAGTTGACAACTTCCACGTGTTTCATTTTGTGGCATGCCTGGATGGTTGAAGCAGTCTGTTGAAGACCTAGGTGTTTATGAAATACACATATTTAGCACCTGTGACCTGTTCTAAGCCACCAATAACTGAAATTGAACATTAACATGAAACAGGGGCAATAATGGAACTTCAAATCCAGTTTCTTTAGTCTGTAAGGGTAGAATCAATTTGCACAAAATTGTGTGAAAGAAGCAATTTTAATAGGCACTAGACTAACAATTACTGGTGAAATACAAAACAGAAAACCTTCTGCATATTGAAGCCCTCCTTTCAGTCTGAAAACAACGCAGCAAACTTCATGGTAAGGATAGGTTAAGAACTGTTCCAGATGCAATACTGTGTTATCAATAAGAAAACGTAATAACACAAGAGCAGAGAAAAGTTGTGTCTTGGCCACGGAAGGCATAATACGGTCATTGAGCTGTGTAAGATCAAGATAGAACAACACAGCTGATAATGGAATAGAAAAAAATTAGTATGGACATATTTATATGCTATGAATTTCTTTGAGTCTGTAACGTTATCACCAAAGACAATTATGAACTGGAGGCTCCAGGCTCAGTCCTAGGAAGTACCAAAATGCAGTCAGTCTTCATTCATCAGAACTTCTATGCTAAATTTTTTTTTTTTTGGCTCGTATGTGAAATATGTTTACAAAACACCTGTTCCTGTCCTGTAATTACTGGGCAAGGAGCTTATTCTGCTATACAGAAGTAGGTTTGTTTTTAGCCTGGTAAAAAAGGCACCCAGCAGACCAACCATTTGACTATAGTAACGCTCTAATACATGTGTCTACACAGTCCATGGCCACCGAAGGCTGTCGTGAAAGGCACTTACTGTAACAGCATTTTCAAGATACCCTGAAGCAGCCTGCTCTGCTTTTGGCTCAGTCTGTTTCCAAGCTGATTTGCTGGGAGTTCACTTCCGACTTAGTAAACGTGGTGTATGAATATCATCAAGCGTCCCCACTTTGGTGACAGGAAGACCATTTCTGCTCTGGAAAAGTTTTCTTTTAAGACTCACCAAAACCTGTAAGCTTACGCTACAAGGGAGCCCTAACGATTACGCTCATCATTACCTCCTCAGTCGGACGGCAGGCTTTATAGAAGACCTTCCAGGAACACCAGCCTATACCTAGGGACGGGCACTCGGCCCCTGTTGAAACAGGTTTTTCCTTTTTCCACCCTCCCTCCGGGTCGGTCTTACCGGACACACCGTTAAAAGCAAGTTCTTCTGGTGCGAGGC